TGAGACATCGAAACATGTTGTAATATATAGCGCAAATTGTAACATCGAGAAAAACGATGAATAGCGCGAATTATTTATATCAATTTTAATTTTAAACATCAATATTAAAATGGTTTGTGTATAGACTTGAAGAATAAATATATGTATCAATTGAAAACACAAACATGACGCATCTAAACTATAAATGTTAATGCATGTCCCACTGAGAACTCTCATATGAAACAATGTATCACTACCAACCCGGTAAATCTATCGGAACGGCGGACGGCGAAAATTCTTGTCGTGGACATGGACCTTAACGCTGCATCGTATTTAATTGCGTCTGCGCAAACAAACTGACGATGGCTAGCAATGAATTTTATCAAATCTGTTTTGCTATGCTCCAGTGCGTGGAGTAGATCTTAAAGACGAAAGTAAGACTTTTTAGAAAAACGAACATGATTAACATTAACCCACCCCCTGGAAATAAGAAATATATTTTAAATAACTTATTAGGTTGTATAGAAATAAATTTAATCACCGAATAATTATGAAACAATAATACTTTTGGCCGAGTTATATTTGAAATCGAAGCATTTTGAAAATATTTTAATTTTGGATATTACTAATGCAACATTTTTTTGGTCATTTTCTATGTATTAAAATTCATTAGAGGCACTGCATGCTAAGAACCATGCAGTGCTTCTAATGTTAATTTGTGTCACTTGAAGTAAGTGTAGAAAAACATTTTAAAATGTGTTTCAGAAACATCGAATTGTTTACTTACTTAAATATTATATAATATCATTATATTAACATGATTAATAAATTAAAATGTGTAAACATCAAAATCTACATTTAATAAAATACACGATTATGATTCCACAAAATGCTTCAAGTTTAATTTTGACTGTATTAAGGGAAATGTGTTATTTCTAAGTTTTTAATAATACTCGTATCATTTAAATGAAGTTGAATATTGAATTAGAATAGCTACTGCAGAAGTTCACACAGAAAACACTTAATGCTTATTGTAATAATAATGGAAATGAGAACTCCAGTTTAAAGTAAACTCGTTCGCGTATGATGTTGCATCTATGTAAATGAGGTTTTCATGCCCGGTTGCAACAAATGCGAGCTAATTTTTGGTAAAGCTGCAATTAGTAGAGTATTATACTGCACTTAATACCCGGTTTACACTTGATAAATATGGAAAGCAGTAGAGATATTATATTTCGTAGAGACTTCCTTCACATTTCGACACATATGCATTATAAAAAAAATTATTTTAAATTCTAGTTTTGCACACATATTTAGGGCACAATAAATCCTACTCCAAAGTTAATGGGTGTTTCTTGAGTGATTTGGAAATGTAATTTATTGAAACACGACGTAAGGAAGTCCCAATTATCTATTTATTTATATACTGACAACAAATGACGGGTAGCAGTTGAACTTTTCACAAAGAATAAGTGAAAATCCTGTATTTAAGTCACCTTTATAGAATGTAGTCTTCTGACTTGCGGTGATATGTACTCATGGAGGTGGGTACAATTATATCTGAAGAACGTACGCTCTCTGCCTTAAGGACTGAGAATTACACACTCCTGAATTTGGAAGCGATAAGTTTCAACCTAACGACGGCAAACGCCTTTAAGTTCAAAAATTTAAGTAAGGACAGAGTGTTCCTCCGAAACGTTCGTAACCAAATACAAGTATACACGACATCATAATCCATAAGACCATAATAAGCACCATCAACGCCGTGAGATTCTCAGAACTTCAGTTTTTTTCTAATGTGCAATATATTCATCTAAAACTTGAACTACTTATCAGACACAACGTTAGCTTCCACTTCGGCGCATCTGCACCTTCTTATGCTTCATTTATCCCCGCATCGTAATGTTTAAAATCTTATTATATACAGCGTGTTTCAATTAAATTTGCTATTCGCTTTCTACAATATTTAACAAGCTAATTAATATCTGGGCATTTCTCTATCAAGGCAGTGTCTTAGCTTAGATGCTGGTTCCCTATTGTAGAGATCCTAACAAAATTTAGACGTGAAAAACATGGCAGATGAAAAGGATTTTCTAGTCCTTCGGCGTTCTCCTGGTAATAATCAGTCAATTAATGCGCCGCTGTCATCTGTCACCGCTTACTTGATAGCTCTGACCAAGCAGCACATTATCACATTCTCGATCTTCGGCTTGTCTCATTTTACAGGTAGGTTAGGTTTTATCGAATAAACACACTCCCTATTTTTCAATATATTCAAATCTTAAGTACGAAGTTTAAAAATATCATCTAAAATTTTGATTCCTACATAATGTAAAGTTTATAACCTTCACCTAATTCACAGTTCAAAATTGTTTTATGTTGTTTCATATGAGGCATATTTTGAGAAAAGCGATAACTCAGTCGGTTTAGTAGCCTATCTGTAGTGTAATTAGCTGCTCAGCATTCGATATAATCTGCAAGAACTGAACGTAACATGAAGAACAGAATGCACAATCTCAACGAATGCTTTTGGAAAATACATCGACTCCTATTTTAAGAGGCCCTAGAAGTTTTTGTTCTTGTTACACTTTAATACCGTCCGTTACATCAAATCTTATGTTAATGAAGCTTAACGAACTTAAGCAACATTACTATGTTATACCACCCTTAAAGTATTGTTATTTATGTACCGTTTAATCGTGTTTATAGCCTGTTGTTTGCCTGGAAGTTAGGCTTTTAAGTGAAGCCTCAATAAGCGCTTTCATTTCCATAAAGCCTCTTATTATGGCATCGTAAGGCTTTATTTACGGCACGTCTTAAGTATCAGGTTCATACTTCTGTCCCCTGAATACCATCAAGTACTCATTATCATGAGAAACAAAGTAAAACGCACATTAATTTTATTCTGATATTCATCCTCACTTCTTTTCTGCTGAACGGATGCCGGATGTAAACATTCATTTATTGCATTCAATTTGAAGCTTTAAATTAAAGGATATTGGTTGTAGTTTGTGGAAGAATGTATGAATCTCTATTTATCTTGAACGAAACGCCCCAGATAGCCTGTAATGGATCATCTGTATAATATGTTTTATTTATTGAATAAACTAAGATTTGGGAAACAACGAAGAATATGTGAGATTATCTTGGAGACGAATAAAATCAGCAGGTAATTTAATTCAAAATGAGAACTACGTAAAAAAATTATCTAAAATCATCAAACCACTTTGGAGATCTACATGTAAGTTGGGATAATATCACTGCTTTGTTATGTAAGATAAATAGGATGTGGAAGTGATGACTACATTCAGCTGAAAGTAAATATTGGGATTTTATTTTGAGATAACAAAAAGCTTTTGCCTTGAGCTTTTATTTTATTTTACAACGTCATAATCATATAGATTACATACAAGATACACATACCATTCAATGTTATAATCAGTGTTTAATTGATACATGACTGTTACAATTAGAAGCAAGAATTACACAATGCGTCCATTGCTACCCTGAATTCTAGAACACTAGTTCATGAGTATTCGGTTTGTGAATGAATGTCTTTGGAGTTACAATACGAGTATGATATATGCTTACTTAAGCGTAGGATTCAAACTGGCTTTATTGAAAAATAACAGAGATTGTATTAGATATTTATTGAATTTCTGTAATAACGTATTGCGTAGATTCTAGTTTGTCAACTGTAATAATCTTAGTCTAGAAAAAAAACTAAATTTTAGTTCTGTAACATTTAAATTAACAAACAGTTTGTATATATATATATATATATATATCGCTGGAGACAGGGTAAAATGTGCAAGTCATAAATGTTCGGGTAACTGAAAGAAATTTTCGAAAAGTTGTAAATCAGACATTGATTTTACCCAAAAATTTATAGATATATAATTGTACAATTTACTCATAAACTTACTCCCAAAGTCGTAGTTCTGCTGAATTAAAAGTAACAAGAACTGCAGGCTTTAGAGCAGAAAACATTTATGGTTTGTAATTTATGGACTTCCATCTCTTTACTTTAGCACCGACTACTCATAACCGTGTAGCTGAATATAAAATACTAAGTTGCAATAGTCTTTCATAATTTTCTAACATAAATAAAATGTTTACGCAAAGTATGCGTGGAATAACTGAAAATAATATTTTTGTACTAAAATTATTGGATAAATTTTTTGCATATTTATTTTTACATATTCTATAAATATATAAAGGAAAACATTTCTTAAATAAATTTATAAAAACACAGGGCATCTTAACTTTGTCTACAATAAAGGCTTTATATTGCTGAAATAACAAAAGACAAATTAGATATAAGTAAAGCAAATGAAATTTAAATAAATAGCTAATTTATCAAATATGTGAAAACCGTAATAATCTTTACAAAATTTTTAATGTTGCGTTTGTGTTATTTCTCTTTCCATGTAAGAGATTCTATTATTTGCACGTTCCCATTCAATGTATTGAAATTAGACTTCACTTTCTTCGTCGAAGCTTGTTACAGAATTATCTGATCTGGTCAGAGATAGCAATGGAGCCATATGAAAATATGCGATTATGGTCATTTTATATTACTCTCTTGGCGTGTGGAAGAAATTTTCATAGCATGTGAAAGGGGCATTACGTACATTTGTTACTGCATAATCATATACAAGTCAGGTGATGAGCATTTGCTTATAGCTCACTCGAGAAAAGGGAAGCTGGGGAGGGAAATGTGGAGAGTCATAATTTAAAATATCGCCATGATAAAGCGAATTGAGACATTTTATGTTCTTCATAAATATCAAAATTCAATTTATAATCAACTATACCACAGTGGTGAGAATGATTTTAAGTATATATTTCAAAATTTGTAAAGAATATGTGTCATTAAAGTGATGCATATTCTTAGATATTTTTTTTTTCTCCTGTTAATTTAAAAAAGAATAGAAGCACGCGATGTTTGGGAAGCTGACTCTTTTCCGTCATCAGATTAAACCATAAAACCTACTCAGTTGGATCCATCATAAAGAGCTGATATCAATCCAACTTCCTAAATGTTGCTTGTTTTTAATGTTTTAAATTAATAGAGAGAAAAATTCCCAAGAATATGCACTAGTTTCATGTTTCCATTTTGACAGGTATGGCGGAATCCACTCCCAACTTCCCACTCTGCGAGATGTATTGTATTCACATTCACATGATAGACGAATCTAATGAGTGTCTACCTCTGATCTGCACAGAACAGTTGTGATTGT